ATTATACAAAGATAATAAAATAAATATACGGATAGAGGGAAACAGGAGGCACAAAAAGTAGTGTGAGCATGTAATAGATGATCCTCAAAAATAAGAAGACTTGAAGGGAAGATATGCAGTCCAAGGCCTTTCGTTAATAGTACTGAGATTGGCGAAAGTGGAAAGCAAATTATAACTGCACTAAATGAATGCTTTCATTGTAAGCAAAGTGTATATGAACATTAGTGTTGCAGTAATGGATGAAGGAGAAATAAAAATGGTCGCGAGCAGAACAAAAATAGTTTCACATTGAAAAGTGACGAAATTTAGTTCAGTTTCGCGGACTCCTCCGTCCTATTCACCATCAAACAATAAGACGAAAAAGGAGAGATGGCATAAGAAGAAAAGCTTATTCAGTCTCTGGTAGTGTATGAAAACTAGGATCACCTTTCGCCCATCTCCACGTTTAATATGCTCCGTTTTCTCCAGATTTATATGGAGATATGCATTGAAGGGAGCTTCGACCGAGTAATGCCTATTGATGCTTCTAAGTGTGTATCCTTCCGAACGTCACATAGGAGCATTAATGCGATCGGTAGTCGCTTGTAGGCGAGCTTGCTCTTTCAAATATGGATGGGAAGAATTCACCTAAGCTAGAGCTAAGATGGCTTTTTTGGAGGCCGCCCTGCTAGAAAGCATGGCCTGCAGAGCCTGGTCAATTGATAATTGCCAGATTTCGTCAGCCATCTGCGCCTTGATCTCGGCCTCCTCAGGGGAGTAGATCATCCAGCCAGCATCCTCGGCACGCAGCTCAATCTCAAGCAACCGGTCCAACCGGTCCTTGTGTGCCAGCATCCATTGGGTAAGTCGAGAAAATGTCGGCGATGCACTGGATCCAGAGGATAGCTGAGATGGCGGTTGACCCAGGCGCAAGTGATCGGGCAGATGAAGACAGAGGTCACGCTGCACCAGAGGCATAAGGATGCGCAGCAAGTGCTCACGAGTAGATGGTCTGTTTTGTTATAGAAAATAGATGAGTCAAATAACTTATAGCAAGAAAGGGACGTAGGGGATTTGCAAGCTTTATAGTAGAATGAAAGGACAAAGTAAATTAAATGTGTAGAAAGAGGACAAGAGATTAAAAATGAGAAAGACAAGTTGATCAGCGGGCGAGTTAGGCAGAGAGCCCATTAAAATGTATTATGAAGCACAAACTTCATAAAAAATCAAGTTAAGTCTAACGAATCAACATATTAAAGAAAACCAGCACTATATGTCTAGAAGACTAACTAGGTATGATTCACTCTTCCAGGCTAATTATTGAAAGTTATGTTAAATAATTTAAGCACACTTTGATTGGATCACTTCATTTAAGATTTACTTAAGAATCGCCAATTCTAGTAAAAACTTGCAAGCATACTAATCAAAATTAGAGAAGGAAGAGTTACCTGCTAACTTAGAGGACAGGACCAAACAGATAAAGCCCCTGGGAACAGGTGCAAAACAACTTCAAAATGGTTTCATTCAAATATAGAAGTAAAAATGAAACGAATGAGTTCATTCCACATAGCTTTTGAGCCAAAGTTATACTCCTCTTTTAAACTTAAATATGGCAAGTTGGAGAACAAAATAAATAAAAAAAACTTAGTTATGATGAAATATTGTGTACCTATTTGCAAATCTTCAAGCCAATTACAATGAGTAGTGCAATTTAAAAAGTAATAAGCCAGAAGATAATGGCCCTCAGATGAGTTCATAGGATCTATAGTATGATAAGCATACATTGTGAATATTTTGAATAACTAAGTAGATAATCTAATAGGGAAATGAGAAAGGAATAATTAACCGAAACAATACTATTCTAAATTATATATAATTGAGGATTTTGAATAATAAAAAAGAAGTGATTTTCACAAATTGTTCCAGCTGTCAGGACGACCGAGTTATACGGACATTGGCCGAAGTCATCTGGTGAAAAATTCAAGCGTAGAACCATGGACTAGGTAAACGCCCAGACGTTTCGTCGATGAGCCTTGTCATTATTAGTACCAAACTACAAGCAGTCGAAGAGACAAGTCAAATCAATCCGTTAACCAAATTTCTGCCGAAAAGTTGTGCTATTATTTCTCTCTTAGTCCTAGCACAACTCTCTATTCCCTACCCTCTTATCTCACTCTCACCCTATCACAACTTCTGACTTGTTTATATTCCACTCCTCAACAAGTGTATCCTTTTTGATGAGTTTAGTGTAAAGTCATCGCACCTAATGTTCACCTTGCCACCCTCACTTTCGATCGTCTGATCCGACACGGGCCTTTTATCCGAATTTGCCTCATGGGTTCGTAGAGCAGTTTCTCAACTTTATAGTTGAGTGATTTCATTGGGTTCGAGTCCAAGTGTATGCACTATTTCTCAAACCTTCAGTAGAATGTACACTGTCGCTTCACCGAGCAAAGTGTCTAGGTTCTGATTTTCATGCTTGTAGACATCGAGCATAGTCTCCTGTGACCTTAAAAGACACCAA